AGAATATTTTTGTTAACTGTGACGTGCCTGAAGTGACTTTACTGTGACGTGCCGTAACTGATGTGTGTGAATCGACCTTTAGGCTTTTAGCAACAGCAATGGTTTATCTGTATTAGGCCTAAGCCTAATTTTAATTTTAAATAGTGGCAGATGCTTTTATTTATGATCACATTACCTTAATCAAATATATTTGCATGAAATTTGTTAAAGCTTATATATGCCTATTCTACCAATTTTGCTGTCCCGTTATATCTTATCTTCCAACTAAATTAATTCTCAATTTTTCCCACATTAAAATACTATAATGCAGTGTGCGGTTCCAAGGGGTGGAGGGCTATAGAAGCAAGAGCCCCTCCATTAGAATCTGACTCTGGAAATATAAGTTTAAACATAAATTTTGTCATAAATAGGTGACAGAGGTCTTGGAACACAGTTCTAGACGTAAAAACAGTTAAAAATACCCCCGCCGCAGCAAACCTGCAGACTAAGCGAATTTCCATTTGACTGATTGGATTTACACTGAAATGTCTACTTAAAAATATAACATTTATTCCAGATTTAAATAGAACTAGTTTAACAAGTACTTAGGTTTGCTGCATCAGGGAGGGTAAAACTGTTTTTTGTCAAATGTGAATAGTTAGTAAGAAATAAAAACATTTTCCAAATTTGATCAAAATATGTTCACAAACAAGCAAAAACTACAACAGTTTACTTATTCTCCATAAGAATAACATGGGAATTTTAAATTTACAATTTTTTGGAATTTTCTCTGTAACCATTAGGCGCATAATAACGCTTCAATATACTAAATTATTTGTTTTTTTAAGCTCTACAAAATGGTTTGGAAAGAAATTGCTAAATTTGATGTTTTTTGGGTCAAAAATGGGAAAAACCTTTTTTTACCCCATAAAACCCCTTGTAAACCCCCGTTCCCATGGTCCGATCATGCTGGATCGCGAACTCGTTCGAATAAACGTACGTTTACACGTTTGTACCAAATTTCGTCAAAATCGGATCATTTTTGCTCGAGTTATCGTGCTGACGGACACACATATATATATATATGAATTTGAACGGATGGTGTTTTTGGCCTCTAGGGACCTCAAAACAAAAAAAAAAATCGGTCCCGCGTCCAGGTCTTACCATGAGTACTACGGTAATAGCTTATTCCCTATATGGGAAATTCGCTAAAAAATAATACCCCCGCCGCAGCAAACCTGCAGACTAAGCGAATTTCCATTTGCCTGATTGGATTTACACTAAAATGTCTCCTTAAAAATATCACATTTATTCCCTATTTAAATCGAATCAGTTTAACACATACTTAGGTTTGCTGCAACAGGGAGGGTTAAAGTGTTTTTATGTAAAATGTTAATAGTTAGTAAGAAATAAAAACATTTTCCAAATTTGGGCAAAATATGTTAATAAATAAGCAAACTACAACAGTTTACTTATCCTCCATAAGAATAACATGGGAATTTTAAATTTACAATTTTTTTGAATTTTCTCCGTAACCATTAGGCGCATTATAACGCTTCAATATACTAAATTATATGTTTTTTTAAGCTCTACAAAATAGTTTGGAAAGAAATTGCAAAAATTTAAGTTTTTTGGGTCAAAAATGGGAAAAACCCATTTTTACCCCATAAAAGCCCCCATTAACCCCCGTTCCCATGGCCCGATCATGCTGGTTCGCGAACTCGTTCGAATAAACGTAGGTTTACACGTATGTACCAAATTTCATCAAAATCGGATCATTTTTGCTCGAGTTATCGCGCTAACAGACACATCTATACTATTATAAAGAAGAGGTGGTGTCTGTGTGTGTGTTTGTATGAGCTAATCTCAAAAACTACTGGTCGGATCGGGCTGAAATTTGGCATGATGATAGCTCACATTCCCGATTAACATATAGGCATATTTTTATCCCAAAAAATCCTTCGGGGCTCCGCCCCAGTGGCTCTGGAGTTTCCCATGTTAACCTTATGAGAAATGGAATTAATGAATCTTAACAGCTGTTTCAATTAAACAAGTTGGTTATGTTCTATGATGTTCAATAGCATTAACAGTTACAAGGATTACCAACAGGGTGCAGCACTAGCACTATTATTTCTTTTACATTTATGACAACAGCAAAAGGTGAGTGAGCGTAGCGAACGATCTTCAACCTGGAGGCGAGTGAGCGTAGCGAACGAGCTAACCTGAAGGCAAGTGAGCGTAGCGAACGAGCTAACCTGAAGGAAAGTGAGCGCAGCGAACGAGCTCCAACCTAAAGGTGAGTGAGCGTAGCGAACGAACTTCAAAAAGAACCGAAATTTCTTAAACCATGTCCTCACTCATAACTGCTATAAGCATTTGATACTTATATGCCAACCCCGTACGAAGGACGGGTACTCTGCTAGTATATATATAAATATATATATAAATATATATATATATATATATGAATTTGAACGGTTGCTGTTTTTGGCCTCTAGGGACCTCAAAACGAAAAAAAAATCGGTCCCGGGTCCAGGTCTTACCATGAGTACTACGGTAATAGCTTATTCCCTATATGGGAAATTCGCTAAAAATAGCAGATTTTCTTAAGGGGAACCCCTGAAACCCCCTCCTAATGTTAATCACCCCTGTTAGCCCTTCACAACGTTCTAATCTAGAACCACCACTAATATGACAACCCCTACATGGGATCAGAGGCTGTATAGAAAATGTTACTACTATAAATAAACAATTTAAACAAATAAATGTCTTACCTGTTCACTGCTGGATTTATTTATTACGTAATAGAGAGATCTGTGACCACACTCCAATGCATTTTACGAATGTTGGTTAGAGGTACGCAAACTTGAAATCTGACTAGGCCTAGAGTCGGTTGATCAGGGTATGAACCTGCAAAAACATTAAAAAGCATTAAGTCAATCAATTTTAAAACATCAATCTACAATTCCAAAGAGAAAAGCTAAGATATTATCGATGGAATAACTTATTAAGTTACTTACAGTATTACATAATGGAATAAACTTATTACATAATATAGCCTAAGCTATCGAATAAACTTAAAATATAGTAAGTTTAATCAATAGCCCATTAAGTTATGTAGGCCTATAAGTTATTGAATTTCAATATTGATTTTACATGTTAGCTTATGAGGATTCTTAAGTAGATTATCGCCATTACAGGTAACTTATATATAGTAGGTCCTAAGTAGCTAACAAAACTTACAAAAAAAGGATAAGTTTACGTTACAAATTGAGGTCAAAGTGTAAATTTATTTGTTTAAAAACAATTACTAGATATAGCCTACTTATCAACTCTTGTGTATACAATTTACATACAGTAGGCCTTGTTTGTAATTATCTTTAACTACCATACCGGTAACTTAAAAAGCTAAGCCAAAGTGAAATGTTAGGGTACTTTGGTATTATGCGGAGGCCAATTATTTTAGAGTGATATTTTACTGGAGAGTCCAAAAATAACTACATACTGTAATAGGAAAAAACCTGCTTTAATTGACTGACTGTCCAGATTTGACATGATTACAATTAGCGGCCTTTGAGTTCTGTATCCCAGAAAAAAAGGCAGCGATGTCGGGGAGGATTGAGTTAAATGCGTCGCTGCCGCTATACTCCGCCAAGTAACTTAGGTATACAGCACGCTGCGTCATGTTAGGTTGGATTATCAAATATGTTTATAAAACTTTCCTCGTTTCGTTATGAATTGAACTATACCAATTGAGTCATACTTTCGCCCGCCAAATACCCCAGATACAGGTGGTAACAGGTGATGCATGCTCCGGTCAATGACCTGGCTAAGTACTTGATGGGATATGGCGTGCAAAAGTAATTTATGACTCATCTGGTAATGTAAGAAAACCCAACCTAACATAACTGCGCTGTGTAAGGGTGGCCTCCGGATAATACCAAAGTACCGTACCCAAGTTAACCCCACAGCACGTGTATACGAGTCTTTTTGAAAAGCATAAGTAACTTAAATAAATAAGTTTTTTAAGACATAAGTTATCAAGTGAAAACTTCTACTGATAGGCCAACGATAGAAATAACTTATCAAACTAAATTTTCATCTGATAGCAAGTTAGGCCTAGGCTATAAGTTAGGTTCTCTACAGACTTGTAGGCTACCTATCAATTCAATCGCTCTAACAACTGCAAAAAATTTCAACTAACCAGCATCTTAGGAAGCGACTTAAGCTTTCATAACTTTAATGTTCTTAAGAAACCAATTAACTCTTACTGATAATCGGATAATCCTAAAAATGTTTTCAAACTTCATCAAGTCCCTACGTTAACCTTATTAGGTACAATTACCTTACCGCCACCCCTCAGAATCTTCTGATTAATACTTTCTAGGCTTAGAGGTTAATAATCTAATCTATTTAATTTTAGTCAATTATCAAATCAAGGAGACAATAACATGAATGGATTTATTAGGTAATAGCCACGAATACTTTAAAGTATTCGTGGTAATAACATATTTCTACCTGTACTTCTCGTGGAAAAAGCAAATCCATTTGATCTTGATGCCAGACAAACATAAGTTACCTAATTGGTCAAATTCTTCCTTTGACCTTACATAGCCCGAAATTTCCTTGACGTATAACAATTTAAATCTGTTAAGCTTCCATCTCTTTTAAAATTAATTCCATTTTAAAATCTAATTTACGTGTATCGTGTACCTGGCCACCTCCAACAACTATTAACTAAGTCACACAAGACAATGTCAACAACAAACAACGTAACGTACATAACACACGTAAACGTAAACAAACACAAACATAGGAAGGAAAGGATACGATTATTCCGTCGTCATAGAACCGATTCGATTTCAGTAAGAAAGAAATATCGCAGAATCACGATAGATCGATTCAATCGTATTCTGTCCGAGTATCGTAGTGAACCCTCTACTCTAGGCCCTAGGCTATCCGCAAAATGTACGTCAGTCGGATGGTTAGAAAGACGAGAAAGACCCGTCCTGTTTGAGGTTATGTCTATCTATTTTATGCCCATAAAAGTTTGTTGTTGTTGTTATGGTTATGTGCTCTGCTCCTCTGTAGCTTAAGATAAGTCGAGTGAAGATTAACGTTTTAACGTTAGCTGATGAGGTTTTGTTTTTGCACTTTGACCTTGGAAGATATTAAAGATATTACTGTCTATCGCCTTGCTGTTTTATTGTTACTGTAGGTTCATTAAAAATGACCAAGTTATTGGAGTGGTTATTTGGAGGTTGTTTGTTTTTAGGATTTTGGGCAACACTTGTGACAAATGTTTTCGATTCCACATTTATCAATGAATGGATGCACTTCATCGTTGCCCTACCAGTGCTACTAGCCGGAGTATTTGGGGTAAATATTGGCAAAACTTTAACCAATATCTGACTCCATAGTAACTTAAGTTACTATCTAACTTATTCCATCTTACGTACTAAAACTTATCCATTGTTTTGTTACAATTGGTTTAGAAAGTTTGGTTTTGGTTATTGATTGAATCTACAGTATAGTTTTAGGTTACTGTTTTTAATAGCCTTGGACTAGTGAAAACTTACTATCGATAGTACTATCGATAGTATCGATAGTTTGAAAATATCGATAGTGGGTCGATAGTATTATACTATCGATGAGACTATCGATAGTTTTTTTTACGTTAAATTAAGTAAAGAAATCATTATCTGGTACTCTTACATTTCATTGTTTGTCTGTTAATGCATACCTATAGTTAATATTATAGACTATTTTTTTTTAATTCATTGTAGAAAAGCTTGGTAGACAAGTAGGCTACCTTCTCAAACATTTGAAAGCGGGGGCATTTGCTAATTCACTACCGGACTTATGGGTACATTTGCCTCGTGGGTTTTAGCATACAAAGTAGACACCGGTATACGGTATTTTCCTTTGATCTATGGTTTTAGATTGTCATAATATATATATATATATATATATTATTTATGCTATGTGAGTAAAAAAATATTTTTGTAGTGAATAGTAAAAAGAAAATAGTAAGAGAATTTTCCTTTTTTTATTGTTGTAACCCTTAAAAAAACTTATTGTTATTTTATACAAATGTTGTAATATTTTGTAAAAAAACATAAAGGGGGCTCCAGGACGTCACCCATAAATTGTTAAAATTAATACTCTGATACAGCTTTATCTTCGACTAGGTAGAAACCATTGTTTAAACTCATGCAGGCAGGATATATACAATATTATATGCATTAAAATTCCATTTGAGTGACTATCGATAGTACTATCGATAGTATCGATAGTTTTTAAAAAACTATCGAAAACTATCGATAGTGTGACTATCGATAGTAAGTTTTCACTACCTTGGACTGGATTAGGGGTCCAGCGTGGTGTTTGGTATCGATATCCGATATATCGGAAATATCGATATTTTGGTTCCGATATATCGATATTTTTATATCGATATTAGACTTCCGATATTATCGGGATATCGATATTTTACTACGATATTATCGTTAGAATTGATTTTAGCAATTTTTCAAAGAATAATGCAAGAATAAATACAGTTTAATCTTTTCTGAACTTGTTTAGCAGTTATTAAATATTATTAATAACAAATTTATTTGTAGGCCTACACACAAACTATTTCATGTACCTATCTAGTTAAAAATATATTTTTAATCTGGTTACCTCTGCCTGCATTTGAATAGTGAGTTGGCACGGTTGGCAGAAGTGGAGTGCCAAAATGAGGTGACGGCAGTGAAAACCAATCAAAACCATTAAATTCTCATTTGTTGAAAATTAAATTGTAAACAATTTAACGTCATATGTGTGCAGCTAACTGCTATGTTCATGGTGGTACTTTCCTGTTAAAGGGAACATTCATTATTATCGATTATTTCTTTTTGAATATCGATATTTTATTTTTCTATCCGATATATTGATTATAACAAATTAAAACATATCAGCTGACAACTTCGATAAGGATAGGCTAATATTGTTCAGTATTAACAAAGGTACTTTCCTTCTAAAGGGACATTTTTATATCAATGATTTCTTTTGATGACATATCGATATTTTTTTTACCAAACCGTCTGTATATATTCCTTTGTTTTAATATCTTCAAACGCATTTTTAAAAAATTGTTTGTTAAGGTAATTTCCTGTTAAAGGGAAGCATTGCGATAGCATTCCAATTCCATTAATTTTTAACGATATTTTTCCGATATATCGATATTTTTGGTCCGATATTATCGGAATATCGATATTGAGGCTCCGATACTATCGGAATATCGATATTGAGGCTCCGATACTATCGTCGATATAAATATCGATATTTTCTTTCGATATCCCAACACTAGAGCGCCATAACCTAACCTAACCAAACTTCCTGTAACATATTTAAATTGTGGTTTTCACTGAACTAATTAATAAACCAAAAAATAAATTGAAGCTTCAACCCAGTAGATAGGCCTAAACTATGTAAAACAAACAGAATTGTTTTTAAATCACAAAATAAAAAGTTGTAGCCTAACTAAAACTTAGGTAAGTTACTGGATAAACTATATGCAGAGGATACACGTCCGGTAACCGGATGTGGATTAGGCGTCTGTCAATTAATTACTGTCATAACCTAACCAACCAAACTTGCTGATAATGAAAAAATTGAATGAAGGTTAAATTCTCTTCATAAAATAAAATTATAAATGCAAAAAATTCTAACAAAAGATGTCCAGTTAGGCCTAACTTAAGAAGAAATGACATTTAAAGCCAAATCTTTGACAAAAAGTTAATTTTACCGATGAGATTCAAACCAGGGACCTCTTGCATATTAGCCGAGCACTCTATCTATTACACCACTAAGACCGATAGCTGTACATCGTATCGTTGTGGTAATGGCGTTCTGGGCCCCCACAACCTGGTGACTTCACTGCCAGACGCCTAATCCACGTCAGGTTACCGGACGCGTATCCTCTGTGTAAACTATAACAAAATATGTACCGGTACATAACTGGATTGTTGATGTGGAACAGAGTTAGGCCTAGCATTATGGATTATAATGTGCTTCCAGATATATGCAGCTTCTGTTGTTTTATGGCGAGTCTACACTTTTAATGATTGTGATGATGCAGCAAAAGAATTACAAAAGGTGAGTTAATTAACATTGTGGACTAGCAGTACAATCACTAACTAGGACGTCCCGGGGTCGCACGATAGTGCGAGTTTATTAAACTACGTAGAAAAGTTTCCAAATGTAGCTGTTTAAACATAGGCCTACTGAAGGACGGCATTGCCTACAACCAATTACGTTAAGCACGTTATTTGTCTCAATTTCTCATAACCTCTAATTATCAGTGAACGTCAGAGCTTTTTTATTTTGCAATAAACCTGGAACAAAGTCATTCGCTCATTGTTGTAAAAAATACACATTTTACATTCATTAACAGTAAATATTTTAATTTCAAATCAGTTTACGATAAACAATGTTTTCAGTGTAACACGATGATTATTTCTTAATCATCCTGCTTGGAAGTGTCTTCTGTGAAAAACCGTAGCTCACCAAAATACCTTGCTCTACTGGGGGCAGAGCTGTCGGTATCCGAACACAGGTTGCGGAAGATACGCTCCAACATTGCCAATTGGCCGTCCTTACGCATTGTTGATGGTCATTGCAAATGCTGTGATAATAGAGAATTGCGCCCTTTCCTACGCAAAAGGGAGCATAGGTTCAGAAGGTCGCAAGTTAATTCTTGGAATTAGCACACTGAGTCCAGATGAAGCTTCAGCGAAATATAGCTACAATTATCTATATTTGATCGGCGACACTGTGGCATGTCTTAAAAAAAGCAGGGAAGAGTACTAAAGAAGTGTGTATTAAAAAAGAAGGCAATAGTAAAATCAAGTTTTAAAAAAACTTGAGCCATATAATAACTTAACTCAAATATTATTAGTTTTCATTACAACATAGACAAACCAGCTGTTAAAAGAAATAGCTTGAACCTATGTAAACTAAAAAGGTTAACATTTTAACAAGCCACCGGGGCAGAGCAAGGCCCTACTAGAAAAAACAGGCCAAGCTGCAGAATCCATGATGGCACACTATTGGATCGATTCGTTTATAAATTCACTGTCATATCCCTTAAGTTTTAGGTAAATGAGCTGGCTGTTTGTGAGATTTTAATGGTACAAATTTAGTACAACTATCCACCAATGTGATGTATTGTTGCGCTGCCTGCGTTTCAGCATGGCCTGTTTATCTTGGAGCCTTGGACTTTGTCAGACCTTATTTGACATCTACCTAACAAAATCTTTCAAATGGGCTGTAAACTAACAAAATTGGCTGAAAAACTACGGACGAGTTCCACGGACAAAAATTGTGCTTGCTTTTTTATAATAATAATTGAAAGACATTTCAGTGTAAATCCAATCAGGCGAATGGAAATTTGCTTAGTCTGCAGGTTTGCTGCAGCGGGGGTAAAGATTAGTATACCTAACATAAATGTTTGTTCACTTTTTATTATTAAATAAAACTAAATTTATTTTGTGTGTAATGGTATGTTTAGACCCACCTTTTTATTAGGAATTAATTTTTTTTTTTAATTTCTGTAGAGTTTCTGTATTTCTAGACTACTTAACTCAAGTTTTATTCATTTCAGCAAATAATTGAGGCTAAAGAAGACTTGAGAAGAAGAGGTTTTGTTTTTGAAGTGACCGACAAGAAGACTGATTGATTTTTGTAAATTTCACTCTTATATTAAATATTTATTTTGTAAAAACTTTGTCAAAGCCTTGAAATTTTAAACCTTATGCATGCTTAAATTGCATCATTCACTAATAATTATGTCAGCCATTTCTTGGCTGACTGCTTACCAGAATATTTTTTTACCACTCTTTATTTTATATACAACTTAACTATTAAATTCTAGTTTAGAAATATGACTTTCTGACTCGCCAGAATGTATTTTGGAACATACAAGGGTTGGTTGTCTGTAAATAAAGGTCTCAATTAGCTCAGTTTCAGCTTGTAAGCTTGTTTAAATCCAAAAACCAGGGCCTTTTCTTTATATCCTCCAATACCTAGCCAGTCCCAGCTGGGTTTTTCTAGGCGCGGAGTCCGCTCTCCTCTTATCATAGGTAATATTTTACGAGAAGCGTAGCGGACCACCATTAAAATCACTTCAACACACTCCGCTCTCCCCGCCTAGGAAAACCCGGCTTAATTTGTTGTAGCTGTTGATGTTAAGGAAAATTTTTTATTATGTAGCTTGAATTGGTATGAGTATCCATTATACCGCCATTAGTAGTACTGACAAATGTTAAGTTTACATTACTTAAACCGTGAACTATAAATACAGGGTGTTGATTGATGTCACCTGTTTCAGTGACAAGATTATTTTTGGAGACAACCACAGTATATGCATGTTATTCATGGCATTCAGCTCTACTAACTGAGCCATAGCCTCCTTAATACAAGGCCACATAGCCTGTACACCTGTTGCACTAATTTATAATGGAGCGCCTGCACTGTGTTTATGTTCACACGTTTGTTATTATTATTGTTATTGCAACAGACTGCCACAACAACCGCAGCACGCTTTTATTAAGGAGGCTATGACTGAGCTCATTGTAATCAGGTATCTCTTCACACATGCCTTACGTCCTGACTAATTTAACAGCTGACCTTAGTCAGAAATGAAGCTATACAAATCATCTCACTCCACTCTACACTCACATTTAACTGTATAAACCCTCCAGCGGCTAGATGTACCAACTCATGTGTGTTTCTAGCGGTACAAACCCAGCTCTGTGTGAAGGGGCTTTAATTGACTATAGCTATATTAGTTTCAGTTATGTCATCTGTACAACTAATTACTCAGTTAATCAGAGATCTACTAAAACAAAGCTGCAGTGGCAGCGATTGACCATTGCCGAGGAGGAAAAACTATCTAGAGGGGATGTAATATTGTGAATACACGTAACAAGTTATTCTTCAATATATTAAAAAAGATGGAGTGGTGCACTGGTCCGTATGACAACAACTTTTTGTTTCTATTATTTTAGGGTCAATTTTATTTTTTATTACCTGTCATTTATTTTTCTCTTATATAACTGGAAGAGAAGCTGTTGTTTATGAATAGTAAAATATGTAATTTTATTAAGTTAAAGGTGGTTTCAAGTCTTCGTCGGTGACACCACGGAGTTTTCCTCCAGGCGCATTTGTTTTTATAGACAAATATGTGATATCACCAGTCAGCCAACAGCTTTAGGAAATTAGGAGTAACAGTATCACGTGCATTTTTCTAGGAACTGAGCATTAGTTTGATATCCTGCGCAAAACCCCTATTAATCAGTTGAAGCCCCAAGAGTCACTGATGGTGTTGTTGTTTTTGTTTGCTATATATTTTATAAATATTTTAAGTAAGTGTGTTAATTTAAATAATGTACAATTTAATTGATTATACATGGTTGTAATACATTTTTTTATCAATATACAGTCTAACCTTGATATAACGAACCTCGATACACCGAATTCCTTGATATAACGAATTTTTTAAAATCCCCTAGAACTCTCCATAAGACACAATGTATATTTTACCTCTACATAACGAACAAACCATAACAACGACCTTGATTTAACGAATTTTTTGTGATTTCGGCTAAAATAAGACACCTCAATATAGCGAATTTATCATTGTCAGAACCTCTACATTGCGAATTTCACCTCTGCATAACGAATTGTCTACGTCTTTCCCTCGATATAACAAATCCCCCACCCCATTATTGTTTTTGAAAAATCTGTTTCTTTATCAAATGAAATGGAAAGGTGACGTCATCGCTTGCGCTAACATTCGTCTGCTCCGTTTTACACATCGCTGTCTGCTGTCTGCGCGCGCTATGTTGCAACTGAGAACTGATTTCATTCACTGAGGACTGATGAAGACGTAATGTTTTAGTAAGCTGTGGTTGGGCGATAAGTAACTATGGTGAATTGTACAATTTTTGGATAAAGAGAAACCTAAGAAAGAATATAAAAACAAAACCAAAGAGAAAGAATAGCAACATCGTTATTTTAACATTCCTTTTTCGAGTGTTTTTATTATCTTTAAGTTGGCTATTGATTATACACATTTATAATGACTTATCTAATAATTTACTGTATTGTTTTCAATACGATTTGTTTCAACTAGCAACACCAATGCTATAGTTAATGATTATTATTGACATTCCTGTCCTCTGTTGTGATAAATCAGTACCGGTACTGTACTGTAAGTAGCCTACTGGCCTATCACGAGCAGTAGCTTACAAAACTTTCTACATACTACTGTTTTGTTTTATTCTTTACATGATTTATGACTATGACATGACTACGCAATACAGTGTTTGGCTAGGTTTTAGGAGGGTTAGAACAAGCTGTGATTTTAAACTTACAGTTTCTTAACCTGTACCAAGGTCAATGCCATTGTCATGATTGCGCAATATTCAAGATCCCTCCCCTTTATTATGCCGGATAATTTAGGTTCTTCTGTACAATGTAAACACTGTACTGTAAAGTATAGTAGCCTATGCTACTTTAATTGTGTTTTAATGATGACTAATCCCGACCTATATTGACCGGCGCTGGTTCTGAACCTCGTCTTAGCGAAATTCCTGCAAACATAACCTCTATATAACGAACCTCGTTTTTACGAAATCCTTGATATAACGAATATTCAGTTCGGTCCCTTCAGATTCGTTATACTGAGGTTGGACTGTATATGTATATAAAACATTGTTTGTCTGATGTTTCAACACCCGGAAAAAAACTCTGTGTGTCACCGTGTTTTAAAATCAAAGACATCGACGAAGGGTTAAATAACTGAAATAATAAGTAACAAATGGTAAAGAAAACTTGGTCCTAGCGGCACCAGACGGAACTAACAATACAATTTTCTCCAGTTGATCCATAAGGATGACAAATCTACTGAGAGAGTATGTTTTGTCTATGGTTTATATTATTCACACCATTACCTTGGATCATTGACATCTAGGGCAAAATATAGTAAATGTTTTACCAATCAATGTTCAACAATTCCACTGCAGTATTTAAAATAGTGTTTGGGAACTTATGACATTAAAAAAACACATATTTTTAAAGGTATTATTATTATAACAAAAGACTTAAAAATATGTCTTGAAAATAAATAAATTAGATCCAGTCCTTAAAGCTTACAGAAACACTTAAAGTTCCTCTTTCACATATGTTGACTTTAATTCTTCAATTCGCTTGATGTAATCACTTTTCTCTATACAACCTTCACATACTTCATTCCACTTGTTCAAAATCTTCTTCAAATCTCTAACTTTCAGCTTTTTCAGATCGACTGCATTGAGATCTATTTCTTTCTCTGTAAAGAATGCATTCTAGTTAAATACCAAGAAACTAAACAAAAATATCTTCCTAAAACCACAATTTTTTATACTACTAGTCACCCGCTTTGGGGGCAAGGTAGTATCTTTGACTGTTAATACAACTAGACATTCCATCCTCATGTTAAATTTGTAGGGTATTTACTCAGGGGAGGTATACAAGAGGCTACGATGACAGCTGTGGGCTTCTTATTAGCTGAGGGAACGCCATTACCGTAACAAAACGATCTGTAGCCATCGGCCTCGGTGTTCTTGTGGTTAGCGTGCCGGGCTGATATGGTGAAGGTCCCGGGTTCAAATCCCGCTGGTAGCATTAACTTTTTGTCCAAGATTTTGTTATTATCAGCAAGTTTGGTTGGTTTGGTTCGGTTATGACAGTTTAATTTTATTATTAAGTCATTATAAAATGTTAATTGAGCAATTTCTAGTTTTATTTAATAAACAGAATTATTTGTTCTATTACTAAACTTTTGTTATATTATTTCATTATCAGCAAGTTTGGTTAGCTCGGTTAGGTTATGATAGTTTAATTTTATAATTAAAAAATAATAAAATTGAATTTGAGGCATTTATTTTATGAACAGAACTATTTTTGCGATTAGTAAACCTTCATTGCCAAACTGCTCTCTACTACAGCGCAGTTCACGGAGGAATTTTGAACTAATGCCTCAATCGTACCTCCCCTAAGTCAGACCCAATTTGTAGCCAGATCTTTTATCAAAATCGTCGTAGTTGATGTGAGCCACTGACAGATGATCTAAATTACCAAACTCTCTCAAATACACAAACTTTTTTCCCGAGCCTAACTTAAGGAATGGCTTATGGTGAGCTATGGCAAGTATTACCCATCAACCTGGTCAGTGACAAAAAATAAGGTAGCCTATAAATTGCATTTTCAGACACTAGGGCATATTGTGACTGGCTCACACAACTACGTTCTTTATTAATAAAAAAAATTGGTGACAGCTGGTCCATATAGATGCGATGTCTACTTCAGTATCTTATAGTTAATGATAGTATATTACTTTACGAGCGAGGTGAAGCCGAGCATAGAAACAACTATCGAGCACTGGAAATGGATCCTTCATGACGAGTAGTGAACAATAATTTTCATCAATGCAAACAAATACACAAAGCTTCTTGGTTTTTTTTATTTAAAAGTTGTATAGCATTGATTAGTTGGTTTACAATTTGTTTAAAAGCCAGCTATTTGAAAACATTTTTTCGTAATGAAACAATGCATTCATTAGTGCTCCTGTAGACACTCTACAATGTTATTGGTCAAATATTGAGACTTAGTACCTACAAAAATCTGTTAAAACACCAGATTAAGTCTGCTAATTGCTCTAGACGTACGGACCTTGCCAGTTTTATGATCAAATAAGATTGATAACAATCCAAATGTCATTAAATTTTTCAGAATGTCATCAAAGTAGATAACACTTTGTTCTTTAATCTTTACCCTTCAATTTAACATAAATGAATTGTTTAGGCCCCTACCTACTTATATTCAATAGTAGGTCTACCGACCTACCAGCCTACCCAAGGAATGTCCTTTCAAAATCCCGGTGTTCTTTTTTGAATACCGTACCCTGTAACTTCAACTTGTTCAAAGGGGCACAAGTGTTTAATTACTAGTACAAGTATACTAATGTAGTAGGCTATTACACCACTTTCTTGCAAGGAATAGGTTGTTTTGTAACTAGGTTGCATACGTACCGTATCTCAATGCGCAGAGCTGTGAGTCTTTCTTGTTGAGTTTGGAACACACAACATCTGCTGGCATTGAAGCTTTGATTGGCCATGACAGGTCTCCCAATATTCCAGTGGCTGACTCTTCTTTCCCACCTACATAATAGCACTGAAACACAAGTTTTCGTTATTTACTTGAGATTGAATACTTCACAATAAACCCAATAGGCTACAGTACAGTGTTTTGAATTGTTGTGTGTATTGTTATGTGGCAGCAAATGGTAAATTTGCCAACATTGGTTACTTATTAGGGGTGTGGACTAGATTTTTTACTCTTTAATATAATGGAGCAATATTTAAAAAAAATGTTGACCTTAAGGTCTCTTGTTATACCGAACCGGTAAATTGTAAACATAGCCAAGGCAAATTCATGAGCGTGGGGTCAGAGGGGTCTGCTCATAGGCACCTCATCATTGTCTCCGGCGACCATTACAATATCATTAACATCCTTCTTGTTTACAACAAAATTGTGAACATATTTTGCGATTGTGGACATCCTGATTGTCTCCCCCAATTCCGAGGAAATTTAAAAATCCCTCACAATAACAACCAATTTCTGAATTTACGATCTTACAATCTTCACAGACGCACATGAACATATATAATCTAAATGACCTATCCTGAGCTTGGCCCAAAAATCATTTCTGTCCCGAAAGCCAATTTCTAAGCTGCTCACAGTTGGCTCGACCCCACCCAGGAGATTTCAGAGACCCACGGACCCCAATCAACTTTACTTAGTTAGATTTAAAACTACTGTATTAAACTGACTATTAGAATCATAAGTTAACTTATATTCATATCATACATAAGCTTTATTAGGTAATGTTTTTGCAATCTTCTTTAGAACAATCTAGGCTACTTACAAATCTGTCTTCTTTGTCATCTTTTATGGTTTTGCAAAACTTCCGAAATTCATGTTCAATTGTTCTTTGACTTGTTTTGAGATCATCTGTCAGTCCTTTGCTGAATCGCTCCACAACATTTATACAAACTGAAATTAAATGTTTTGGTTAGTTAACAATTCTAAGTTATGTTGAACAAGAAAGAAGACAATTTAAAGACAAGATCAACCACACACAAGTTTATTGAGTGATCACATTCCTAATTTCTAAACAATCCTTTGTACCATTTTCAACAAAGCTACCTAAAAAATAAAGCAAACTGTACTGTGCAAAGCAACTTCACATCAACACCTGGAACTGGTAAATCTTACATTATTTAAGTTATCCTTCTCAGGTCAACTTATGAACTTAAAATACCGGTTACTGTAATTATTAATTTAGTTTAGTTTAGTTTTAATTTTAGGGAAACTAATGTTTTGCAGCAAAGTCTCAGGAACACATTTATGATCAATGTTGTTTTTTAACTAAAAAAAATCATCTAAATAGTCCGTGACTAACTGGTGCTGCTACCTAGTAACCCATTGAACAACCATCTGTAGCGCTATCTGTTCGCTATCGGTGGCGTCAGCTTAAATACCGGTTTTTGACTCCTCATTCTTCAAGCACAGATAGCCGAGAAGGCTAGGGCGTGTGTCACTTGGCCAGTGGCATTCGTCTGCTCGGGTTCGAATCCCGTCCTGTGTGGCAAATAATTGATGACCTGTGTGTTTGTAGCGATATACTACAACCACTGGGGCATAGTGAGGTGTTCATAATCCTTGGTTTAGACATACACCTCGAAATCATCGGATTGGGCGAATCTTTTAGCTAAGTGGTTGTTAGTGTATCCTATGAACATGCAGGTCACCAATGGCCGTTTTGCTGATTTTTTTAAAATAACCTTCCTCTCTATATCCCTTAGAGATTTTTTAAAACAATGATATAATACATAGCACTGAAAGGGTTAATTGAATTATAATAATGCACACAGAAAAATATAGGCCTATTTCACTAAATACTTCCATTATCTGATTTCATACAAACGTGGATTGTTGTGTTTATAAATCAATAAACTTAGATAGATTATATCATAGGTGAGCATTGGGACAATGAAATAAGAGAAAAATAATCGTTTTGGACGTTTTGGTTCAGCCTTTTTTCACAATCATCCTATTGTATGGAAGTGCGTATGTCAGCAGCAGTGGCTTCACATGTGTTTCCAGACTGTTGTTACTGGTTGTTACCAACGTCTCAACAACAGAAATTCCCTGCGAATCCCTGTCATTAGGCTCTGCTACGGATTTGGTCTCGACCAACAATAAATCATTAGGCTCTGACTCGTGAACCCATTTTTCGGTCGTCGCTTATATAGTCCGGGACCAACGTCTGGTCGCGGACCATTAAGTCCCGAGCTCCTGAACCGCCCTTAGACTTCCCATGTAACTTAAGGGGATATGGCAGTGAAATATGCCTAATGAATTTTCTTTTTCAAAAAATTGATTTTTAAAATTTGTCTATTGTTTTTTTTTGTGCTTAGCCTATATTAAGAAAAATACGGAAATTAGTTTTAAAAAATCCGGTCATTGTCTTATTTCAGTAATAATAATAATAACATAATAATATAATAAATAATAATAAAATGCTTGCATAAACAACAATTGATCTATAACTCAACAATAAGTATCTCAATGGTTACACTACCACGTGTAGCTTTAAGCGTGTGATTCCCGCTAATCAGTTGTTTAACATTTTAACTACTAAATTTGATATATCTTCAAAACGATTTATGCTACTAACATGATTCTATTACAAAATGACCCATAAAAAAGTAATAAGTAGGCCTAAATCAAGATAATCTTACTAATATTATAAATGTGAAAGTTTGTGTGTTTGTTTGAAGTTCAATCACGCATTAACTACTAGACGGATTGGGCTGAAATTTTGTATGATTAATAGCTAACATTCCCGATTAACATATAGGCATATTTTTATCTCAAAAATCCTTTCGGGCTCCGTTCCAGTGGCTCTGTGGTTCCCCATGATAACCTTATGAGAATTCATATTTAAAGGGAGTAAAAGTTTTTAGTCAGCTGTTTCAACTTAAGAAGTTGGTTCTATGGTACCTATGCAAAAGCATTAAAAGTTTTAAGATTTACCAACAGGGTGCAGCACTACTTATAACTTTTTTTGCATTCATGGGAACAGCTTATTTGAACTAAGCAACAACAAAAATCTATGATATGCAATGAGAACTGTCAAAGTAGGATTGTTTACAGTTACTTTTATGTTTTTAATTTCATGATTCATTTGTGATATTTTGCGAATCTTTAATAATTTATTTTTCTCTATGGTTTAGGTGAAGTGGTAGAATATTATGGCTATACAGTAAATTTTCAAGAAGAAAATTTGATCAAATCGTGTCTTCCCCCATTGCAAACGCAAAGCTTGAAACTGCAACTTCAACTGCAAGTTCTGTTGTAACTTATAACTGCAATAAGCAATTTATATGCCAATCCCGTACGAAGGACGGGTACTCTGCTAGTGTTATAATACTACCTAAATATTTAGAGGGCACTATTCCCTGCAAACTGATGGTTTAATGATTAAAATCCAATATTTAGAACTTAAGTTGTATCAAATTTAGTTATTTAAGTACGGTATCTAAAAACAAAAACATGAAAAGTGTACGAAAAAATTTACTTTTAGGCTAACTAAGTTATGTTTAAGTAAATAGCCTACCTATTCTTATGCCTATAAAACACATGGTAAGTATAAGTTTGAAAGACCTAAGTTTAGTGATAATGTTAAGGAAGTTAGCATTTTCACTGCACTTATTGGTATGCTTGGAAGAATTTTCCTAACCTTGGCCTAGCTTTTGTTTGAAAATGAACGTTACTGTTAGAAGACGAGTGAAATGGATAATGAAAAGTATTGTTCGTAACCTCCTGAATATTGTCGGATCAGGTAAAATCTTGTACGTTACACGTTACGCAAGAGCTTGTTTACATCACTTGGGTGAATTATGCAACTCGCTTCCGCTCGTTGCACACCATTCACCTGCGTGATGTAAAAACGCTCTTACTAGGCCTACATTTGTAAGGTAAATAGCTAAGTTATTAATTAAAATCAATGTACAGTAGTATCATAGCAAAAGGTTGATTGATAGGCTACATCACTTGACTGGACACAGAACATTGTAATTAGTCGGTAGACCATCTCAACAGACAGTACCACGTTTTTTTGCTTCAAAAGTGTTAACTTACATGGGAAGTCAGGCAAAACCAAACAATTAATTTAAATTAACTTACCTTCACAGTCTTCTCGTTTCAATGTGTGTGTACTGGTAATAATGTATGCAGCAGAAAAGACCACAAAAAACCACATCTGTCCAATTTTCACATCAAGAGGAGTCATAGTACTAAGTAACTAAGTAGCAGCCAACAAATTAATTTAGGAAAACCAATACTGAATTTGTAGGCCTATTCCTTTTTGATTACAAGTAGGGTAAGGCACCTAGTAGTTGACACTTTTAGACCAGATTACGGTTAATATATTCATAAATAATGTTGGGTTAGAGTTTAAGAAGTCTTTTTGATGTTATTTATTGCTCTGAATCTTGAAGATTAAGATAAAAAATAATTAAACCTTGTTTACTATAATGGAATACCAGAAAAATATTAAAACGCAAAGTCTTGCATCAGACCCAGTATTTGACACCAAAACCCAGTAGTTGACAGCTACTCACCCAGTGTTTGACACATAATTTTAACTCAATTTGATTGCAGAATTTAGCCATAAAAGCCAAATTAAACTATTCATAATCACAGGATTGGTTTTCTATTGATTCCATTGAAGAAACTAAGGTAAAAAAACCAAAAACAATTGGCAAATAGGCTTTAATTTATGCTTTAACATTACGATTAGACTGTGACACATGGGAACTTATAAAATATTTCATACTTAACAATCAGTCTTACTAATCAGTCTTATTTAAACCTAGGCTACTTATGATAAACAAAACTTAGTGTCTTACTAATTCATTTTTTTTAGTGTGTTGTGATGTCCATAGTCCGATACAAATTCATTACCGATAAACATAAACTTCCTGAGTTTATTTCGTAAACATTCTTCATGCCTCGTATACCCAAGACCTTTTCACCTTTTGGGTACAGAAAAAAGGCGCTTTCATCCATGTTAAATACTTTGGCTGGATCATTTAGGATATGGAGCAAATTCTGTTCGCTTAGGTAGTTGGTCACCTCCCTAAACCAGTTGCGTTTAAAATCTTCTGTGACAGAAGCTCTCACATGACTTAGTTTTTCCACAGTCCTCTCAGAAACTTGAGGATTTCTCTTCAAAAAAAGAGTGAGCCATTTATTCCCAGGCCTGCCATTTGGAAATAAGTGACTGAGATTCATATCCTTTGATATCTGGCTTACGGATATCAATAGATCAGTCTTGGTAACAGGAAAGCCTTTAGCAGCCATCGCCATAACCCAGTTAACCAACATCTTTTCTGAGTCAGTGCCTAACCTTGGAGCAGGGCCCATCTTTCTATCCATGAGGGTCTTCCGAGTTGATTTGTAGATTAAAGTTGACCTTGGGATATTGTATTTTTTACTTACTGCAGAAGCAGTTTGGCCTTTCTTAATTTCCTCCAACGCCTGCAGTAAATCGGCGTGCGAATATGACAGGACAGATCGTTTTGGTGGCATCTGTAAAGCAAATGAAGTCAATAGCCTAAAACATATTAAAAGTATTCTACAACAATCAGCTAGGCTAGCCTAGAATAGGTTTTGGATGAGAAAAATGCATTAATTGACACTTTAAAGCAAGTATTTACACTACTGTCAAGCACTAGAAATTTGCCTTACCCAGTCCTTGACATAACTGCCAACCACTGGGTTCGAAGCACATTTCTGAATCCAGTGCTTGACACTGGTTTATTTCTATAATGGTTAAGGTTAGGTTATTTTAACTACAACAAAATTATAGCTTGTTTAATGCTGAATCCACTAGTACATAAATAAATGTATTTTGATGATAACTGGTCTGGATGGATATGGATAAAAATTTTCTTACCTCTTATTTTTTTGCTTGAGGTTTAGGAAGTAACTGACATGTGTCTCTTCATTCTTCTATAGCAGCACTGAAATGAAACTTAAAAAATTTGGGACAGCTTATTTTTGGAGGGAATAGGTTCAGCTGTCACATGACACCAAAAAAACACCTGTAAATCAATTTACAAACATGTGGCATGCACAAACTGTCAAAGTGTCAACCACTGGGTAGGTGTCAACCACTGGGTGCCTTACCCTATAGGCCTAGCCTGTATTAAAAAGAAATGTGAATAATTAATTATTATAGCCTATCTAACTTAAACGTTAGAGGCCTAAAATGTAAGATGTAACTGAAAGTAAGCAAGTAGATTAATGTATAAATTCTAGACTATAGTAAGTAAGACCGAAACCGTGAAACTTTAAAATTCCTGCTGAACAATACGCATGTAATTAATAATGACAACAGAACAACCTATCATGAAGCACCAGCTCAGCTAACAGTAACAGTTCAGTTTCACTGTTTCACAGTACACACACTCACACACAAACATAGCAACAGCCGCTCGATCGGTTCGGTTCGGTTCCGGTATTTCAACTTTGAAACTCGGTCTCGACTCGCACAAAACGTGCTTGTTTTTGATTGGTTGATACGTTCGATATGTTGTACAGTCAATGGTTGTACGTAGAGGCTTGAAGGAAAACATAGAAGGCCACGTGTGAAATAATTACCATCGATTATTTATTTTTTGAACTCACGTATCGAATTGGGCTTGGGCTGCTGGAGGAACAACTCCAAAGGAAAGATGGTGACGTAACATCCACGAAGGCCGAGCCAAAAAACTCGCTGAACGTGAAATTGGCTGAACTGTCGAATATAAGAAAATTCGAACACTAGGATCTTTGTGAACAGCATTTTAATCGGACCAAACTTCACTTACAAAGCTCTTTTTGACTTAAATGGTCAAGTAGAGTGTGTATGTGTGACAACTTTAATGACTCGTTTAAGGAAGCAAACCGTTGGGTCGGAACAAGGCCGCCTTTAACTCCAGGCCGCGGCCTTCGAAGTGGCAACGTCGCAAGAAGTGTTGTAACGTAACAGCGGGGACAGCTCACTTACTCTACAGATCATAGACTATACGAGCTTTTTAAATAATATTGAAGGTTCACTTGCACTACAGGCTCGTATACTATACGAGCCTATCGAAAATAAAAAATAAATGAAGAGGGTTCACTTACTCTACGAATCATTGTGCCTATGAGCCTCGTGTATTATATTTAAAAATACAGTAGGAAGGTTCGCTTACTCTACAGATCATAGTGACTATGAGCCAAGCTTACGAATTATTTGATAATTCAGGAATCGGCTCGTATAGTATACGAGCCAAAATAATGAATAATATAAATTATAGGAATAGGCTCGTATACTATACGAGCCTGCAGAAAAATATTAGATGGCTCACTTACACTACAGATCATTGACACAATGATCCGTAGAGTAAGTGAACCCTCTTCAAAATATTAGATGGCTCACTTACTCTACGGCTCATTTAGCTACTCGTTGCGCGGTTTGCGTTCGTGAAACTCTAGGCGCTATGCCCGGCTTCGACTGCTGCGACTGCCTACATAAGTGTATTGCATCACCTCAATTATTTATTAAAACGAAATAAATATGTATGCACAAGTAAATTTATTACATTTTTGGACTGAATACTTCAAAAATGGAGGGAGCATGACTTTTATGTTTAATTAAATTAAAAGTTATAGAATAAAACATATTTTGACTATGTGATTTGATCATGTTATATAATACACACTTGTATGATCCAGATACAGAGCTACAGACAAAACCTGTGGTCCGATTTAGATTAAATTTTGTATCTGGATTTATCCACGAGTCACTAATTTTTTAAGCACGGGTTGAGAAATAATTGCAAAAATTTATAAAAACAGTTCACCAGTTTAGAATATTTCTCAGTTACTGTGAGTTGCAAAAAAAGTGTATACAGAAGCATTTGTGTACACAGAAAATATAGAGGACTAGATGTATACAGAAGATATATTAAAATACAATACGCACACAACTATCAACGTTTACATATGTAAAATTAATGAATTTGTTGTATTGAGTATTTTTAACATTATGACGAAGCCTTAACAAAACATATTTTTTTTTAAGGAGTTCTAGGGTGTTAAACTATATTGTATTTATCTTTTGTGGAAGATTCTGTCCACGATTTATGATTGCTAACAATTTAATACAAAGATTTAAGTCTCTGTACGTGAAGACTAAAAACACGAAACAAACTTTAAAGTGATAGAAAAGATTTGATCAGGAGCTGGCGTTTGATACCTTTTGGGAATAAATATAGCCTCTACTTCAAAGGTATACATGGTGAGGTAGCCTCTGGAAGTCCATCTTCAGGTTAACAAAAACGTCAATAGGTCATCTAACCAATTTGGTTAGATGACCTATTGACGTTTTCTGAAGATGGACTTATTTTCAATTCCGAAACTATAGTAGTGTAATACTGAAGGAGGATCACTTGACGAAGCCAGGTAACTTAAACCATTTAGCTTAAAGTTATACAAGTTGGTTTCACACCAACATTTCATGCACATATAAAATCTATATAATTAATACGCGAACACGAAGTTTGTCGGTTGAATCCTCCACCATTTCTTAACCGATTTTATCCACTGACGTCTCATTGGAAAGAGCGTGCTGCGTAGATTTGCAAACTGGCCTAAAATTTTTGAAAAAGTCCCTTGGCCTCTGCCACAGTGGCTTTTTAAGTTCCCATGTTATCCTTACGAAGAACATAATATTGTTTACATCAGCTGTTTAATTTAATTGTGTTCTTTGTTTTTCAATTCAACGAAACTCATTGGTTACATTAACTGATTTTGTGGAAATTAAATATCTATCTATATATTAATTACGAAAGCCGATTCTTTGCGTCAAAATTGTGGGCAACTGGGTAGTCGTAGAACGACGGGAGAGGGTTCAAATTAAAGGTCTCGATCCCGGAAAAATAGTGAAATTCCCCAAATTTTAACACAAAATTAGATATAACCTTTGACTTGGTCAATAATATAACGTAAAATGTTCTCCATAAGAATAGCATTAGAAGCCATTTGTCTGTTGATTTTTGTTTACCTCAATACAGCTGATCGTGATTTATCATTAAGCATGTAAGCAATATTACATTTGGATTTAACTCATTTGCCAGTAAATTCTGCAATGTACTGTATACTATATAAAACCAGGGATGACGTTACATACAATTGAGACTTTTGTCGTTATGTCTTAGAATGTTGAAATTAATTTTACTGTGCAATTTGCAAATTTGTGTATTTGTATGTAAATTAGCCAAGCGCATGAAATTTAGTAGAATCGTGGGAGATGGTTAAAATCAAAGTAAATGGAAGTAGAATGGC